AGTGGGTTAGCTGGATGGTTCTGTCTCAGGGTTCCTCACAAGTTGCAGTCCAAGATGTCAGAAGGTGGGGCTGTAGTCGTCTGAAGGCTTGCCTGGTCTGGAAAGTCTGTTTCCAATCTGGCTCCTCACTTGGCTCTGGAGGCCTCAGTTTCAGGTCGCATGGGCCTCTCGCTATGGCTCCTTCAGTGTCCTGGTGATATAATAGCTGGCGTTCTTCAGAGTGAGTGAGGCAGTAGATCAAACAACGTGGAAACCATTATGTCTTTTTATGAAGGAGCCTCAGAAGTCATATACCTTCATTCTGCAATATCCTGTTTATAAGAGTGAGTTACGAACAATGGCCCACACTTGAGGGGAGGGAATTGAGCTCCATCTTGAAGGGAGAATTTGTCAAAGGATTTGTGGATATGTTAAAACTGCACAGATTATATTTTTCCATTAGGAATGCTAATGATCTTGGGTAAAATTCACGATGACTTACTTGAATTGTTGCTGTATTTTCTGTATTAAAGAGAATCCAGGTTCTGAAGTAACAAGAGATAAATATGGTTTTTATGGGTTGTCAAAGATTTTGAGTTTGTTTTGTAACATTATTTTCTAAAAAATCTTTTAAGTTTTCAGGGCACCAAGATATCATTGAATTATTCCAGCTCTGTCCTGGTGTTGTTGTTGGTTCACATTCCCTGCTTTGAGAAAATGTGTTAAGCATACTAATTATAAAAATGTATTTATTGAAATAAATGGCTTATTTTTCCCCTCTCAGCTGATTTGAATAAGATGCACAGACAAAATATAGATGCCTACCATAATCCAGATGCAAGACCATATGAAGATAAAAGGGCTGTTGTATCTCTAGACCAAAATTTAGCCACTTCAAATGCTGAGAGCCTAGAAGATTCTGCAGATAAAAACTCAGGTGTTTAATCACATTCTATCTTTCTTTTACATTTCTAAAATTGTTCAGTAACATTTCTGTTCTCTGATGAAGTCTTATTATATTGAGAATTTGGTTACTCTGAGTCAGGAAGCATAACATGTTATTTGTGCTTTTTATAATACCTTTTCTTCATAGGTATTTTGAAAAAAGTGAATAAGGAAACATAGTTTGCTTCTTAATTAATACTGTTCTCAGCTTTGTAATTTGCTTGTGCATGTTTTAGCTGCTGCTAACATTTTTATTTTGCTAGTATAAGGGCATTGCTCAAAATCAACTAGTCTTTTTACACATAGTTTGTTTTTTATACCCATAACTATTTGAATTGGTGAGAGGTATCAGATGTGGTATGACAAATTGTACAATAAAATTAATTTTTTGCTTGTTTTATAATAATTGTTTGTTCTCCCTTATAAAACCACAATGTACAAAGAAATGAATAATTAAAAGTTTAATTTTATATCGAGTCACATCTCTCCTTTTTTAAGCAAGTATCTTTGGTTTGCTGTTAAGCAACATCCATCAATTAAAAGTTCTAGAAATTGAAAATTACTCATCATCTTTCTTTATGACTTGCCAGGAAAAATTGGCATCATATTTTTCTCAAAGAAAGTTGACGCCTATAAAAGTAACCAGTTATTTGCCACAAATTCTGCTCTTCTACTTTCACAAAAGTTTCGATGTTAGACTAGGAAAGAACTTTACATTAGGAAATCCTTTTAAAATAACTTGGACTAAAATTTTTTATTTTATTTTTAACCCTTGTGACTTACTGACCAAACTGATTAGAATCACTGGCCTTGCATCTCTCAGTCCAGGGTAGCGCTACTCTGTGCAGCCTTTCTTCACGCTCAGGAGGTGGAGTGTTCGTTGTTTCCGTGGGCACCGCTATTTGATCCCTAATTACCAGAAATGCTTTCTTACTTTGACCCACAATAGATTTTGCCCCGTAGATCCACTTTTGATTTTGGGAGCACTAAAATTGAAACTTTTATTTTGATTAAATTATTGATTTGTTTCTCACTCGGGGTCTATAATAATTCAGTGAGCAGTAGGAACATCAAAATACCTATTCCTATTATTGCTGCTAAGAGAATTTTGGCTTCTTTCTGATTACCATTATTTTTCTCTTCACTTGCCTTTTGTTCTCATAGTCTATATTGCGATCTCTGTGCTACAGACCCCATTCTCTGCCCGTTTCTTCCGCATCCAGTTTGTAGTTCTTCCGCATTGTTTGTAGTTCTGTTTCAGCCTCGCACTTCTGTCGTAGTAACTAACAATCACTTAGCTCCGCTTACCAGCAAATCCTGGAAAAATAAAGTTTCCATGACCCCTTCCCAGGAAACAACACAAGCATGATGATTGAATATGCTCGGCAGAATTTCTTGTCCACAGCCTTTCTGCACACCACCAGGGTTCCCTCATTTTTTGTGAGTTGAAATTTTCTCAATTAATTTTCATTCCCTAATAGACTTTCTGAATGCAAGATTTATCCAAAGTCACCTAATTTGTTGCTATTCCATAATATATGTGTATGAGTGTCTGTGTATGTATACACATATGTGTAAATGTTTGTGTATTTATACATGTGTGCACATACACATGTGTGGCATTAATATTTAAAGGCCTTAGGGAACTTAAATACAACTGAAAATTGAATGTTATAGCCCTGACCGGTTTGGCTCAGTGGACAGAGCTTCGGCCTCTGGACCGAAGGGTCCCAGGTTCGATTCCAGTCAAGGGAATGTATCTTGGTTGCGGGCACATCCCCAGTAGGAGGTGTGCAGGAGGCAGCTGGTTGGTGTTTCTCTCTCATCAATGTTTCTAAGTCTCCATCCCTCTCCCTTCCTCTCTGTAAAAAATCAATAAAATATTTTTTTTAAAAGAAAGAAAATTGAATGTTATAATGTGTGCTTAAGGCTCATTATACTCTAATGTTCTGTTTGTTTTGAGGTCTTCCTAATGTTCATTTCCCCCCCTTTATGGTTCTTCGGTGAAGAACCATATTTATGAAGTCTATACTAATTTGGCTTAAATTTATTTTGTGGCTTACCATGATCCCTAGATATATTTCCATTTACTTTGTGTAGAACAGTGTTTCCCTGTGATTTTATTTTTATAAGTTATTATAAATGTTTAGAAGAATTTGTCCTTGTTTTTGATATTTCTTCTCTAATTGCCCCAAAGGCTTAGAATTTGAGTGATCATTGAAGCAAAAAATACCATTCAATTTTCTTGTGCTACCAGCTTTTATACCATAGCATAAGTATTGATTTGGCTGTTTGCTGATCTATTCAAATAAGTATTAATAAATTTAAAGCAAAGAGCAAAGAAACCTAAATAGCAGCTCAACTCTCAAATAGTCGGCCTACACAAACTATATGGGTGAGAGAAAGTAAATGTTTTAGATTGATGGTACAAAGAACGAGTCAGTACACAAAAAGTTATATGAAGCTTAAATTTAAATACTTTTTTTTCTTTCTGCATTCGTAGAGACTCCTGAGGTATTAATTATTTTTCAACTTGCTTTTATGAAATATTTTCCTTTCCCAGAATGTGTAATACTACTTATAGGTAGTAGATAACATTTTTATTGTTCATGTTTATGTCCCATTAATTAGATAGAATTTTTAAATAAAAATTGTAATGACTAAACGAGTCATTTTAATTTTAAAAAGATTTTAGATCGCCGTAACCGGTTTGGCTCAGTGGATAGAGAGCATTGGCCTGCGGACTGAAAGGTCCCAGGTTAGATTCCGGTCAAGGGCATGTACCTTGGTTGCAGGCACATCCCCAGTCGGGGATGTGCTGGAGGCAGCTGATCGATGTTTCTCTCTCATCGATGTTTCTGACTCTCTAGCCCTCTCCCTTCCTCTCTGTAAAAAATCAATAAAATACATTAAAAAAAAGATTTTAGATCTTACTTTCTTGTTTATTTTTTTAATCATAGATAGAAGACTTGGAATTACTGATTTTTTTTAAACAACGTAGATATTTTTTACATATATGTACATAATACATTTAATATATAATTAAGCAGTTTCTTAAAAGGATATTTACATACATGAGAACTTTATGTATTTTTTTCTCTCCATAAATTTTACTTTAAAGCCTTTGCTGTAATCTGAGTTGATTAGCTATTATGGAGTACCTTTTATGTTTTCTTGGTGTCTTTAAGGTACAGATATATTATGATTTTTCAACTATTTTATTTTAGTTTCACCATTTTTCTTTGTCGCATTACTTTTCACTTGGTCTTCAGATTCTAATCTCAGTTTTCCTTTTTGACTGTAATCTCTGGATTTTCATATTTAGCACATTTTATCAAAATACGAATTTAATAGCTAACTCTTCATTCCTGACTGTTTACTTTTTCTAAGCAATGCCTAATGGTATGTTTTGGCAAATTTCTTTTTCAAGGTCATATACAAACACAGAGCTCTCCTTTTGCTCGGGGAAATGTATTTGGTGAGCCCCCAACTGAACTTCAGATTAGACAGCAAGAAACATACAAGAATTTTCTTCGATTTCAGGTGAAATGTTTATTTGATCATAGTTTCAAGTTTCATAAAAGTTTTAATGAACTGAACTTGCAAAGATTTTATCCACATGCTGAATAAATTTTAAGGTGCCATGCAGTTTTCTACAATTTCTAATATATATCAGATATAGATAGTACTAAAATTATGTCACTTGATTTGAAAAAAAGAATAAGGAGACAGGTGTACCAGTTGACTTAATCTTTTCTAAACTTTATTAAATCACTAATTGTTAAAGAGTGCTGAAATTTCTAAAACTGAAGGTAATAAAATATTCACCTTTTAGGTAGAGAATTACTCTTTTTAGATGCTTATGTATTAGTAGAATGTCAATAATTTTTCCCCCAAAAGATTTGATATTCTTGACTCAGTAGTATAGATTGTAAATAAATTAAAATATGATGTAATCATAATTGCATTTATTTGCTGCATTTATGTATGTAAACAGATAGCATTTAAAATATTAGAAATGCCCAAAGGAAGGCACTTATGCATCCAGTGTTTATTAAGCAAACAGACTTCTCCATACTGTGCCCACCCTTGTGCTGAATACTGGAGAGCACCTGAGATGAACGAGAGGCCTGCCTGTGAGAGACTCACAGTTTCTTCTCCCCTCCCGTCACCCCTTCTCCACCCACACTGACATTCCAGTGTCAGATTAATTCTGGGATCTGTTTAATCTTCCTTTCATAGGGCTTCTTCACATGTTACTCTTTTTTTACTCAAACCCTGGTGGTAGCTTTTCTTTTCTATAGGAATTTCCAAATTCCTTAGCCTGACATTTAAGGCTATCCAATCTAATCCCAGGCTCTTAACTTCCTCTAAAAGAGATTCTACTCAAAGATGTTACCTTTCTAATTCTTATTTTGTGGCCTCTTACCTAAGGGAATGACATAATAGATGCAGTCTTAAGGATGCTCTGGCATCAGTGTTGAGGGTATATTTTTGGGAGGTTTAAAACATTGGAAGCAGGGGTATTTTACTAGAGTGGTGACTGTGGAAATGATGGAAAGGCCTTTCTCATGAATGACAGAATGAATAGAGTTATTGAATATCAGAAAGTGGAATCAGAGGCCCCAGGGACATTGGCCACTCAAGTCAGGCAGCAGCATTTTGAGGGATACAGAGTTACTGGTTGAACTTGAAAGATCCTGTGGTATGTTGCCTATAATGACAGCAAGTCAGAATTCAAGTAGATTCTATTGTACTTAGCAAGTGTTGCACGGTCGAGGGTAGAATTCAGGAAAAACAAAATATTGCAAAATGTATAGCTTGTTATTGTTTATAGGGTACTTTTACATATAGTATCTTATTAAACCTCAAAACTCTCTGAGAAAGGTATTTTATTTTATGATATGCAATTAAGATACAGGCAGAGAGGCTCATCTATGGTGGTTGAGCCACTGCTGGGACCCAAGTCTCATTTCAGCATCACATCTGTAGGTACAGAACTTACAGTTCTAGGAAATTTTTCCCTCTGGGAAAATCTAATAATGGGGGCGCTTTGACTATGTTAGTTTCAGAGTAAGTCCAGCTTTCAGTTCTCCCACTTGTAAACCCTCAGTGTCAAATGGTGGTTTACATATTTTCTTTTACCAGTCTCTTAACCGTCCCCATTTTTCACCCTCAAAGTGTAACCCAGAACTAGTTAAATGATACTTATTATTACTATCAACAGTAGTATAGTGTCAGACAGATATAACTCCAAACTTAAGTGTTAAAAGAGATGCTGTAAAATGTTCAGATCTGTGCACAAAGATGGCCTTGGCTCCTTATCTGCACCAAAAATTTAAGTTATGCAGCAGAAGTCTTCACGTGGCTAGAATTTGGTAAACAACACATGTGAGTGTTTAGGTACCATTTTTAATTAGAACTTTAAAAGTAAAACATTTAATAAACTACTTGTAGAACCTTTGAAGCATTTTTGTATTATACAGTTTGAAAACCACTCACCTAGAAGCTAGCTGTCCTCTTTCTGGTAAGGACTGTGTAGCATTTTTGTTGGAACAACATTTCTATGGACTCATGAGGTGTGTGACTCATTTATAATTGTGACCCTTAATGGAGAAGGGACTCTGATTGTGATTTTTTTTCACAGAGTGGGAAGAAGTGGGGAACTGAGTGTTAGATGTGATGTTTTGCCATATAGATAATAAGTGATGTTTTCTCTAGGTATATGATACTTGGAGAAATGATTATGAGCACACTGCTTAGTACTAAATGTTAGGATTGTGCATATTTAATGTTTTTTTGAGAAGAGTTGGAAAAAACCCTAGTATATGCAACCATGGGACATGCATGAAGATTAAAGTTCTTACAGCTTAGAAAATTGACAGCGCTAGATATAACAATGTTGAAGCTAGAGGCAGTGCAGATAGGAGCAGTGAAATAATACAAGTGGCTGTAATCAATATCTACTTAAGAGTAATTGAAACCTATTGAGTACCCAGTATGCACACTTCCTTCCCTACTTCACCGTTGGAGGATGCAGACTCTCTGACGGTGCCTTCTGCCAGGACTTGGACTCTGCCTTAGAATGTCCCCCCACATATTCAGCACTGCACGCCACCGGGACATTCAAGATGAAATTGTACTAGTTGCACTGAGTCCTGGTGGCTGAAGTCCTCCTCACCTTACAACTAACCAGTAGATAAGACAGAAGGAAGGATGTTCTGAGGGAGGGGTACTTGGATAAGGAATGGTTGGATGCTGAAACACTGATTTGCTGTTTCAGGATCCTAATCAAGCCAGGGAGCTGAGACATCTCGTATCAGTTGCTACAGAATAACATAAACATGAATTACTTAGTACCTTCTATAGAGGAGGCACTTCCACATTTTTCACATTTTCTTTACATCCATTCTTTGAGCACTCCTGTGAGATGTAGACATTAGTATCTCTTTTTACAAGAGGAGAAAACTGAACAAGAAAGTTTCTTAAGGTCTCACAGTTTGTAAGTATTTGGTGGAGCTGGAATGTTACTCATAGCTCTTAACATTACATTATGTAGCCTTCCTAATAAAATACAAGAGATGAAAAATTTAGGAAGTTATTTTAACTTTCAGAAAGAAGATACAAATGTTGAATTCATAGGCTACTAGGAAAAAACAAGTGGTATTCCAACTTTGTAGTAGTTTACAAAGAAATAACTAGGCTTAATTCTTTAGATTGCGGAGAAGAAACGAAGAGAGGAAGCTGAGCGCGAGAGACTGAGGATTGAAGAAGAAAAAGAAGAAAAACGGCTCGCAGAACAGAGGGCACGGATCCAGCAAGAGTATGAAGAGGAACAGGAGAAGAAGCGGGAGAAAGAGGAGGAGGTGCATTTTTTTCCTACTCCAGTTTTCTGTTAGTCTGAAGTGGAATTTTTATTCTGACTTGAGAAGATATATATTACTTACAGAGGAGACTAGTCCTGGGGTACATTTAGAAAATTCCAGATCAGTGTCCACTCATTGGATATTCTATTAAAGTTGAAAGACTAGGTTAAGGAGAGAGAAATGATGACATTTTAAGCCAAAAAATAGTTTAGGCTGACTAAGGAGGTTATAAGACTAGAGGTCTGGTGCACGAATTCATGCACGGGTGGGGTTCGGTCTGCCAGCACCAATGGGGGCTGATCAGGCCAGGCCAGTGGCGGGGAGGGGAAGGGGAGGCAAATTGGGGCTGGGTGAGCCGGGGGTAGGGGGCACAGGATGGCTGGGGGGAGGGGTCATGGTGGTTGGGGGTCCAATTGGGGGCAATGTGTGTCATAGCAGTTGGTTGTTCCAGTTGTTCTGGTGGCTTGGCTTTTATATATATAGATGCCTAATACTTTATTATTAAGCAAACAGTGTCTTGATGTTAAAGAACACTATTTCACTATGGGGAAAAAAGAGGAACAACTGTAATCTGAACAATAAAGATTTAATTAAAAAAATAACACTATTTCATTTATATCTTCAATTTTATATCTATTTCAGACAAATAAGGCAGCACATTTTTTAATGGACTATAAGAATGTATGTATGAAGTGTATATATTTTTCTCTTTATTTTAAAGCAAAGACTAAAAAATGAAGAGCTTATTCGGTTAGCTGAAAAAAGACGAAAAGAAGCAGAAAAGAAGAAGAAAGAAGAAGAAGAAAAACATAACCAACAACTTCAGCATTACTATGAAAGAGAAAATATAATTGGGAAAGAAACAAAGGTAAGCTTCAGACAAAAATGTCAAGCCTGCAGGTTATCCCACCTTGAGTGTGAGTGTTGTAGAATTGTTATCATAAAGGGGAGAGTGGAGGAGGGGCATCTGCCCCCCTTCTATTGTTCAGTGGCCTCTACGGGTGCCCAAACTGAGCTCCTGGGACCGGGTGATATCATTGAGCTTTGTTGCTGTTTTCCCCCAGTGAGTGTAATAGGTTTACTGAGCTCGTGGTCTTGTTTCTATTGTCTGTGGACCAGCACCCTCCAAACCGTTCATGACAAGTACAGAAATTGCAAATAAGTGTTTGGAAATTTATGTATCAATTTGTCAAAGTAATTTAATGTCTGTTGAATCTACTAATACAGAGTTGGGCTTAAATTGTGTCATATCATTTTAAAAATTTCATTTATCTAGTAATGCGTTCTGACTCTTTTTGCACATTTGTCCACAATGGATCGGAAATTAAAGGAGAAAACCTGGAGGGTCACCACAGGCTGGTTTGAAGTCGGTATTCTAAGGTAGAGGAGGGTTGTAGTTCACAGTTAGGTACATGAATCAAAGTTATTAGACAGGTTTTCTTCCTAGAAAGCCACTTGCCCCTTAGCGGATCTAGTTTACTAGTAAACCTGTGCTCATATTTCAAAGCTGTATTTAAAATCCTTTATGCATAGATATCATGGGGGACTTGTAAAAATGTCTATTCTTGGGTCTCATCTATAAAGTATCTGATTTACTGAGTTCGAGGCTAGCCCAGGAATCTGCATTTTATGACCATCCTTAGGGGTTCAGATGCAGTTGGCTTGTAGACCACACTTTAAAAATATATATTTATTTTTATTGATTTCAGAGAGGAGGGGAGAGGTAGAATCATTGATTGGTGGCTTCTGGCATGTCCCACAGTAGGGCTCGAACCCACAACCTGGGCATGTGCCTTGACCGGGAATCAAACTGTGACCTCCTGGTTCATATGTTGATGCTCAACCACTGAGCCACACCAGCCAGGCTGTACTCTTTTAGTTTTTGTCACCATTTTTTTTAGCTTGTATATTTATTTAAACCCTAAGTTTTTTTAAACCCTAATCTGAGAGTTAAATCTTTTAGATAGGATGTCTAAATCTATTTATGTTTATCATAATCAATATATTTAATCATATTAATGGAATACCTAACTTTTTGTTTTGCTTCCTTGGTAGTTACTTGTTTCCTTATTATGTGGACTATGTTTTGTTTACTTCATTCTCTACAGATTATATTGTACTTATGATTCTGCTTTTGGTCATCTGGAAGTTTTATCAAAGTCACCAATGAATGTAGTATTTGATTTTCTGTTGTGCAAAGTGAACAATTTAACATCTGCATATATATATGAGCTCTGATCTGGAGAGGTGTTTTTACCCAAATTACAATTGCATTTCATTTTGTTGAGAGTTTATGTTTTCAGCATTTTGATTTTAATGTGAAGTGGGAACTGTTAGCTTTATTACACCGTAAACTGAAATCCTGTTTTATTTTCATGTGGAGACATAGAATCCTAATATGATCTGGAAACTCCCTCCTCCATGATGAGGGAGTCATATTTTTAAAATAAGGATATCAAAACTGTTCATGTTTATCATAACTGATACATTGTTTTTCTGTCATTTTTAAATTGTTTTTATTTTATTATTTTTTAATTAAATCTTTATTGTTCAGATTATTACATTTGTTACTCTTTTTTCCCCCCATAGCTCCCCTCCACCCAGTTCCCACCCCACCCTCTGTCCTTACCCCCTGCCCCACTGTCCTCATCCCTAGGTGCACGATTTTTGTCGAGTCTCTTCCTGCACCCCCACACCCCTTTCCCCCTCAAAAATAGTCAGTCAACTCCCTTTCTATGCCCCTGGTTTTATTATATTCACCAGTTTACTCTGTTCATCAGATTTTTTATTCACTTGTTTTTCAGATTCACTTGTTGATAGATATGTATTTGCTATTCATAATTTTTACCTTTTCCTTTTTCTTCTTCCTCTACTTAAAGAATACCTTTCAGCATTTCATATACTACTGGTTTGGTGGTGATGAACTCCTTTAGCTTTTCCTTATCTGTGAAGCTCTTTATCTGACCTTCAATTCTGAATGATAGCTTTCCTGGATAAAGTAGTCTTGGTTGTAGGTTCTTGGTATTCATCACTTTGAATATTTCTTGCCACTTCCTTCTGGCCTGCACT